CAATTTGATACATTTGAAAATGATTCATATAGTGGAAATGTAGGATTGTGTGGAATTCCACTAGCAAAAACATGTGGTCCACATCAATCACCGCCATCATCATTCCAACAAGATGGTGATTTGGAGCACGAGAATGGATTTGATTGGAAGGTAGTGTTGATGGGGTATGCATCTGGGGTGGTAATTGGAATATCAGTGGGATATCTTGTACTCTCTAACAGAACACCCGATTGGCTTGTGAAAGTGGTTGGCATAAAGTGATGGTGTAGAATTGTGAAAATCACATGGCAACATGCTTGAAGTAACCATTCCAAAAGTTTATCTATTTTCATACATGTGTATCATTTCTTATGAATATTGTATTATGTCAAAGTACCAATAAATATGCATGAATTCGAAAAGAGCATCCTCTTTACTTTTGTTAAAGTATAGTAATTGCATGTGCATCTTGTAATTTGTCAAACACAACTGACAAATCAATTCAATCAGTACACGCAATTTGCCTCAACTATATTATATACTCCTATAAATCTTATTCCAAAAAATACAAGGAAATGAAAAGAATTAAATCACTAAATAGCATGCATAATTAAGTAATATTTGCCCACAAAATTGAGAAACTGGAGCGGGCCCTGCTGGAGGAACTGGAGCTTCCTGCTCTTGGATGACAAAGGATCCTCCCTTTTGTCCAGCTTGGATCTCTGCCGGTCCAGGCGCTCCAGCTATCTGTGCAATAAGGGGATTTTCCTGGTATGGCCATACTAATCCTGGTGGATGTCCAAAAGGGAGTTCTAGCTGTTGGACTACAACATCTGGATTTGGAATTCTTGCAAGCCTCATGATCCTTCCTGAACTATCTGTGGACTTGCCATTGCATCATGGTCGTCATGTTGTTCAGAGTATCCTGACTCCTTTGTGTTGCAACCTCCTGCCAGAGCACAGCCTCCTGTACCTAGTTTATCCTTCTGGAGCTAGACCTGGAACGTCTACTCTTGGTACTGCCGTGAGCTGAATGCCTAGTATCACTTTCTTCTGATTCATGTCTTTCTTCTTGGAAAGCTGGTTAACCTCTTTCCATGATAAGGCACGGATTCTGGCTAGAACTTCCAATATTTATATACTAAAAGATGCCTCTTTAAGAGTATGTATACTGACACTACTACAAAAGGCGCAAAAGACGACCAGAAAACAACAATGGTAGATCAAAAAACCGTCGTTGTTTTTTAAAAGACGACGGTAATAGAAACCCGTCGTAGATACATAACTTAAACACCTAAAAAACCGGGAACCGCATAGACATTTTTAAAACACGACGCACCAAATTAAAAAAGCGTCGTCTTATTAAAAAGGTTTTATTCCGAGTTAAAATCAGAACCTAAAAACAACGACTGCAGCTATGAAGGCACCGCTGTAGAAAGTAAAGACGACGGTTTAAAAATAAACCACCGTGTTAACTCATGAATAAAAACGACCAAATTTTCTTAGTCAGCGACGCATAAATTCAAAGGAATCGACGACCGTAAATTACAAAAAATTCACCGTATTAAATATATTTACCACGATGGTAAAGATAAATTTATCGACTTTTTAATTACAGTATACTACGACGGTATCTATAAATCTACTGTCCGCATAATTTGTACTAACCACGACGGTTTGTTCAATTAAAGACGTATAAAATTTCTTTACCACTTCGTGGAGTTAAAAATACGATCCTATTAATTAACTTTATATGACTATCGTTATTTATAAACCGTCGTCTTAATTTTTATTGCTTTTTAAGATTCATTTATTGGATTTTTTTTTTCCTACGGCGGTAGATAAACAGTATGGCAAGATTTGTGATAACCCACGACTGTTTATTGTTTGTGCCTAATAAATCTCGGCCGAGGAAACTGGCCGAAGGAGACTAACCGAAGGAACTTTCTCTCGGCCCTAGCACCTACCCGCGGCCGAAAGTTACGAGTCATTGCTTGTTCTCTTTTCGAAACAAAAGTAAGTTGGCACGACAAGGTCATGACGGCCTCGGTAATACTAGCCGAGGACAAGCTACTCTGATACACAGCCAAGATAGGAAAACTAAGTGGTGTCGCTACGTGGAATCATGGTCCCACGCTTCATTTAATGAAGTAATGCCTCTGATCACAGCAGAAAGCCCATGATCCATGAAGGAGCATTTAATGAGCCAAGAAAGAGGGGACGTGATTGAAGTCAGATATGGCGAGTAAAATCAGGGATTATGTGCGAAAATCCCATGATTTTGTAAGGCTAAGCCACCAACCATCAGATCAGGGCATTAAATGCTCCTCCAAGGCCTGAGATGCAGAGCCCACCACCAGGGCGGCGGCTGGGGTTTATGGGTGTCACACCACCATGCTTCACGTTCCCAAATGCCGATTCGACTGCCCACTAGCCCTGATCAACCTTACCATGCAGATTTTCAGCTTCATTGTCTCCTCAAGACCTCCCCTATAAATAGCAAGCTCCGACTACATTTAAAGGGTTCAACACCAAACACAAGCCTCCCACGGAGCAGATTATATTTCCCTGTCATTTACTTCTTGTCATTTATCTTCTTGTAATGCATTTTCAATACTTTTACTTGCTTTCTTAGGAGTAGTGGCAGTTTGGAGGAAAATCCATTCATCAATATATCATACAACCCTTGATTCTCAAGGCGCCGGAGCACCATCCTTGTTACTCTTCCATTCATCCCATATATCATACGACCATCTCCACCTAAGCGGCGCGCCGGAGCACCACTCTAAAACCACCATCAGCACCACCATCAACGGCCTTGTAGCTCAGGCCGTGACCCTGACGGTCGAGATTAGTTCCTCTCTCGACCACAATTACTCTGATTAGAAGTCAGACTTAAATAGGCGCGCAACCCATCTATTCACCCAGCCGCATCATTCTCAAACGCACGATAAACCATGCTGGCACGCCTGCGCACAAACCACACGGTGCCAGAAGAAGGACGACCTGTGTTGACGCAGATCCCCTCGGCCTAGAGCGCCAGGCCGTGAGATTCACGAACGCCAACATTTATATAGAAAACCATCATCACAGTCAAATTAAAGTGAAGTCTTACCAAAATGAGCTCTGTTCCTCATCATAATCGAACCAACACACAAAGGCAATATTTTAGACATTGATAATGTGTGTATCTTTGTGTCTTTGAGATACACAAAGACACATACACATCAACATCCAAAACATTTGCCTATAAAATTTGACGACCACAGCCAAACTGAAAAATGAAAGCATGTTTGTGTCGTTGCTAACTGACATTTGCTTTCAGAAAGACAATTTTTTAGAAGTTGATGATGTGTGCGTGTTTGTGTCTTTCAAATACACAAACACGCACACACATCAACATCCAAACTGAAAAATGAAAGCGAGGTGAGATAGAGAGGTGAAGTGCCTCCAGAGAGGTGAGACAGAGCCAAGGGCAAGAAGAAGTTGAAACCCTAATTGAAAAATGAAAGCGAAAAAACGACTGAAAAACCCTTATTTATAAAATAATCTTTTATACCACGTCAGTTATATTAAAATTAGCGATGTCTAAATGAAACCATAGACGTCGTTTAAAAATAAACTGAGGTCATATATATTTAATTAACAACGACGGTATATAAAAAAACGACGTTGTCATTTTTTTTAAAACTAATTTCTTGTGTAATTAAAAAGGTTACACGTCGTTATATGTAATTAAAACGACGTTCTATAGATATTTAACGTCGTTATTATTGAGTATAAGGTCGTTGTGTAAATTTGAAAATGACGGGTTACATCTTTTTGAAGAAAATATCGTCGTGTAATTAGATATAAACATGGCGTTTTAGGAAAACTAGGGGTCGTTCAAACCATTTTACTAGGGCAGTGGAAACCTATACCGCCGTATAATGTCAGATACTAGGGCGCTTTCTATTAATCGCGTCGTTTTATGAAATGGTATGTTAATATATTAAACTTTTCGTTTACCTGACCTACACTTGCACTGTTTCCAAACCCGAGAAAACATTTCAAGCTCCGAGAGAAAACTTTTCGTCATTTTTCCTTCTCAAAGCGCTGTGTCTGTATCTCATCGTCTTCCTCCCCTCTTCGTCTTCGTCTCTGAACTGAAACACCAAACTCCGAGAGAAAACTTTCATTGCACGCAAAAGGTAAGCATTTCTCACTATTTGTGTTTCTGTTTTGCATGCGCATATCATTTTTGTTTTGAATATAGGTTTTTGTTTTGAAAATCTTTTTATATTTTTTCTGGCGAAAATCATTTTAATTCTTTCCAAGTTTGATAAAATATACGGACAAAGAAGGAAAGTTTCCAACTTTGAACACAACTCTGTTTATTCAACTTCAACTAAATAAGACGACGATAGCTTCTTATTTACGTGGTTAGATTTATAGACCACGACGGTTCGTCAGTCGTCCTAGCGTCGTCTGAAAGTTGTTCTAATACGTCATTTTTTATAGCGTCGTCCTAGCGTCGTCCTAGCAAATTGTTATGTTATTGCGTCGTGTAAAATGTTATAATACGTCATTTTTTATAAATAACCGTCGTGTGTTTTCTTATGCTGACTTTTTAATATGTCTTTGTTTTAGGATGAATTGCAAAAACAAGTCTCTAAAGGCACTCTTACTGTATCTGGAAGTAATGATGTGTTGACAATGGCTTTGGGTCCCGAGCATCCAGGGAGAGTTAGAGGGGTAGGGGCTGGGATTTTCACTAGGCAATACTTCAATTTACCTAGACAACAGAGGGTAAAGTTTGCCGATCAATTAAAGGAAAGTTTAAGACTTGTCCTTCAAGAAGAGACTTTGAAGATGGAGGCTAGATCAAGAGAAGAGACTTTAAAGATGGAGGCTAGTAGAAGCTGAGAGGGAAAATTTGCTAAGTTAGCTTTCCCAACTCTTGCCCAATTTTGATCCAAGCATGCTTAAACTGAAAACTAACCCCTGTGAAATCCAAGGTCAAGAGCAAAGTCCCAAAAATCCAATGTCGGACAAAGCAAGCTGCTCTGGGGCTCTTGATGTGAGAGCCCTACATTTTGAGGATGATACTGCCAAGAATGGGGAAAAGCAGGATGAAATAGTAACACCTCTGAACTTTGAATTCTCTATTTTTCAAAAAGCCATTAGATGTCATTATTGTGAATCACAGTCGTTAGATTAAAAAATGACGACGGTTTACATTTACCGCCGTTTGAAATTACATACCACGACGCATTTATTAATAAACCGTCGTTTGGAATGCA